AAGCCCGCTCCTTTGAACTCCACTTAACCCCTGAACCCCAGATTCCCAGACATCCCAACCTTCGAAACCCGTTCACTTCACGATCCGATGTCATAGCAGTAAAGGCATACGGGAATAAGAATGAATAACAACAAGCACAACGAGAATGAGAATGAGAACAGTGGTAAATTTGCCACAAGACGAGTTGAGAAGGATGCTACTAAGCTGCTACTTCTTGCTACAGATGCTCGCATCATCGCAGCCATCACAGACACCCCCAACTGCGACAAAGGCACGGGACGTGATGGAACCCTGTCGCGAGGTGGGCCTTGAGCTTGGACCTGGCAGAAGCAAAAGGACAGCTCAAGCATTGCAGGGATTAGGCTTCGTGGTTAGGGTGTCGGGTTTAGGGTTTGGCCATTGGAATAATGCTTTGCATCTTTATGAGCAGGAATTCGAGTTGACTTAAGCTTGAAATAATGACAACAGCAAGAAGCACTTTCCGGCTCAGTGGTTTTGAGGAGAATAAGACTAGGACCTGTGCGTCAGGGATTTCAGGTATTGGGTTGGTTCACAGGTCGAGCGGTGCTCGGTGTTTGGGTGTTAATCGTGTGTCTTGTTTCGGAACGGATGCTGTCGCTCAAGTCACACATGCCCATCACTCCCGAAAGCTTTACACGGTCAAACTGTAAGCCTAGCCCAAGTCAGAAAGCACCGTCACCAACCCTCTAACTCTTTATGAATGCTGGGCTCGCAGTGGTAAATCCTGTAAACCCAAAGCCCTGTAACCCCTAAACCCGGTGCGCCCAACCCCAAACTCTAAAACTCTAAGCCCCGTAGAGCGGCATGCTGCCTACGAAGAACATAGATACTACACAAGCCCTCAACTCTGATGTAGGGGCCTGAACAGGAATCATTCGTTCAGGGTCAGGGTTCTTTAGTATTGCTATTGCAACATATTCGCCCCGAAACCCTGGTCCAATCAATCCAGCTCTTACAGGGGCTGTACGTGTGTGTATTCTACAAACACATATACATATGCGTATACATAGACATAGACATAGACATAAGCATAGACATAGACATAGACATAGACATAGACATAGACGTAGACATAGACATAGACATAGACATAGACACAGACACAGACACAGACATAGACATGGACATCGACAAAGACGTCATATACACATATGTATGTGCAAGTGTACATATTTGTATGTATGTGTGTATATATATATATATGACCAATAGCAAGGGGTCTGCAGCACAAGCAGCGTCATTCTGGGCCTTGCCGTGATTGCAAGGAGCCCTGCCGGGAGATCGCCGCCTCTTGCCGTGACTGTAAGGAGCTCTGCCTTGACATGGCCGCCGAGGCCGCTTGGGTCTGCCTTGGGTAGAAGGTTCCTTGTCAGGAGTTGGAGCTGTTACTGGGATTGGAGTTTCGGGTTCAGGGTTGGCGCGTCTGGTTTCCGCGCTCGCAAAGTCTGAGGCTTACAAGGTTTAGGGTCAGGTAAGGGTTTCAGGCTTAGGCTAGCGTTTACAGTTTACAGAAGGGTTTCCACATAAAACTCCGCGACACACATTCAAACTCTGTCAAGCCCTTTTGCAAGCCCTGCTAAACTCCGATAGACCTCCCGAAGCCCAAAAGGGCGCTTGCTCACAGAGGAGCTTTGAGGGCATGCGGATGCTCTGTTTCTTGGCGACAGCGTCGGGACGAAGCCTCGGGGACAAGCTCCAACAGTCTAGGCTGTGTTAGGAGTATCTAGATTCGAGGATTTATGATTGAGCTTTTAAGTATGAAGTTTGGCAGTTTGTGGTTACGCTTTCGACTTTTTCCCCGGGCTAGGCTTAAGGATTTGGGTACAGGCCGCGAACCACACCCTAAAGGCAAGATTTAGGGTTAGGGAGCGCAGGAGGCAGGTTCAAGCCTGCAGGCTTTGTGCTCTGGCAAGGGGCATGGGTCGGGTTGTGATCAGGAGGGACGGGGCTTGCCGCCTTGCCTGCTCGACCGCAGTCCCTCCGACTCCCCATCCCTGCCCATCCTTGCTCTAAGCTCTATAATTTCGGAAACGGTGAAATCACGAACCGCAGCACCACATCGCCCCAAACTGAAACCCTAATCCCAACCCCATCCTAGGCACCAATCTGGAAACCCTCACACCCTCAACCCGACCTCAGCCTTTAAGCGCCAGGCCTCTATGTGCGCCCCAAAACATTTGCCACAAACAGTGGTAGAGATTTGGCCGCGAGGCTCTGTCGGTGCCAGTGCAGGTGCAGAGGGCGGTCGAGAGCGTGTCCTGCAGACAGTGCAGCCCTCTAGACTCTAGAGCCCAGGCCCTTGAGTCTAAGCCTTGCAGACCTGCCAAAAGCAGAGCGAACCTAAATCCCTAGCCAGAAAACACAAACCTTGACTTTAGACCAACTTCTCGTAACGTCGCGGCCTCGATGGTGGCCGAGGAGGCGGCCTCCGGTCGCCCTGCTTCCAAGGACATCAAGGTTTTGGATTTGCGTTTCAGAGTGTAGGGTGTTGGGGTTGGGGGGTTCCGGTACTCTAACCAATCAAACATAATCATCATCATCATCATATATATATATATGTATGAGCCCGGTACGTTTAGGGTCTAGTTAACCAGCTTTTGATATATACCAAATCAAATGCCTAGGAAAATACTATATGGCTATGTGGTACATTGCACAAACCGAAATCCAAAAAGTTTTGGGCCGACTATGATTTTTTGTTTAATGTCGAGCTTCCATGTCTTTCAGGAGCTTGGCCCGGTGAACGCATCCATACCGATTGTGTCAAATGTCTTATATGATGTCCCGTTCGTTGCCTTGTGACCGGAAAGGGATTGCTAGCAACAACAAGCATTGATCGAATCACAAGCCAGCAGGCAGGCACAGTATGTAATCTAACAGAGTGGTCATGGTCATTATGGTCATACATAGTATTCTTGGATGCTGCAATTGATGTTGTGTTCGGATGTGAAACATTAGTTTCCTTAAATGTCTACTGGCGTCGCGTGTTGTATGTGTTGTTTGCAATATTTGTACTTGAAGCTGTATGTATTCTATGTTTCTGTGTGTGTGTGTTGGTCGTTGTCGTTCCTTTAACTTGGCCTTTGTCGTTCCTATGGCGTGAGTACACTTGGTGCACTTCCAATCATTCAACTGTAACATCAACTCCAAAACCCTGTCTACAAGCACTGTGACCAACAACAGCAGCAACAACATCAAAAATATTGGGAACAGCAACAAAACCCGCAATCAATGCAGTTGGCAATAATCATCCTCACAGTGTTCGTAATAATACTGAATAAAATCATACGGGTTGTAAGCCACTCTTTAAGTCATACATAGACGAACACATTGATGAGCAATGTGAACAGCCGTAGACATGAACAAGCAGTGACCGTCAGTATCACAAGAAACAGTATACGGGCATGAATGCTGATCATACTGTGGCGCGTGTACGTTTCCAGCCTTTTCAGCTCTAACAGCAACTCTAAGTCCCAGGCCACTTTTTTGTGGCCCGGGGGTCAACGCACCAACACCAACACCAATTTTCAATTGGATGCTGCAAGAGTGTGCTTTGCGCGTGGTGGGCATATTGCCGAACCCTGCATTCATGTGAAACTGAGATAAGCTGACTCAGTATTCATTGGTAGACAAAAACATGACGAAGGGATGACGTTAATTTGCTGAGTGGTATGAAGGCTGACCCACTGACGAGCTCGGTCTCAGTGTGAGCCAACGCGTCCGATGCTCACGAACCAAGGCCTGATGGGTCGCACTTAGCGTCTGCAGCAGACAGCTGAGCCGGATCCCTGAGTGCCAGTCTAGTGGCGTCCGACACGTGGTCACTCTCAGGCAATGGCGATAGGCCGTATGGAGTACGAAAAGGATGCTGCAGTACAAGAACGATGCAAGGTGCAAGATGCAGGCTTAAATCTGTGTGCGCTTGGCACGAGCGGCACGCCTTACATCTTAGGTAGAGCCACATCTACCGAATCATCTTCCTGCCAAAAGCGCAAGTCTCCGGAAGCAGCTGTATTTTTGACAAGCCAGCTAGTCAATGCTCGCGGGTGGTACCTCGCCTTTGCAAAAAAGCGCGAACAGGTGACGCAATGTGAAAAGGCAGCAACTGTGTCAGTGATCGTGCATTGGCTGGTGCAAAATGCCATGTACGGCTGGCCTGAACGCCATGAAAGAGCCTTGCGATAGGCCGGCGAGTTTGCGCTACAAACGACTGGCAAGCCCAGCACATTTCAGCTTGAAAAAATGAGTTGATCAGGCTGCCTGCACTATGTAACGCTGTGCCATTTTGCTTTGATTCAGCGGCGGCCATACGGGTTGGTACCCATGCCGATACCAGGGCTCCTGCTCAGAGTGCTGCTCAACCTCATCTTCGTCCTCATAACCCTGGTTCCAACTCCAGGAGTTCCCAGACCAGTGCTCAGACCGTTGTTCATCCTCTGTGCATGTATGTATGTATGCATGTATGTATGTCTGTGTGTATGTATGCATGTATGTATGGAATACGTATGCATGCATGTATGTACCACACGCATGCGCTGACTCCTAGCATCTTCGTGATAGAGAGCCTGGAGACGATGATGATAGGAAGAGCAGCCATACTTCAATTGCAACAGGACTAGGAGGTGGCCCTGGTGTGTGTAGGAGTAGGGAGGGCGAACCGACAACACCACTTAAGGAGAGGGGCCCTGACAGCCTGAAGCGGTCAGATGCTTTTGGGTTCTCTTTCGATAGTTGTGGGCAAGCAGCTCCTGAGGGAGCCAACTCTGGCCTCAGCCCGAACGAGGCACAAAAGGGGAACCCTTACGCTCTGTTGGTCGTCTGTTTTCGGGAAATGTCACGACAGGCTTAGCCTTATAATTACCCGAGCTCAATTGCAAACTCACAACCCCTAAACCCCAAGACTCTAAAACGGCACAAAAGCCCTGAAGCCCCAAGACCGTAAACCGGCCGTAAACCCCTAAAACCCCAAAGCCGTGCGCCTGCGCGGTCGACGGCCGCGGAAGGTTTCCCTCGCTGCCTCGTCTGATGAGCTCCTCCTTCTCTGCATCCTCCAAGGCTTGAGAAAAGCTTAGGACTTACCGGCTTCAGTATTGATACGTTTAGGGTTTAGGGCCGTTTAGGCTTTCAGGTCAGGGCTTCGGGTGTAGGGTTTTCTCTGTTTACACGTCTAACTAATGGTTTACGGGTCCGGGCTCAAGGGTTCCGGGTTTAAGGACCTTGGATTTAGGTCGAGGAAATATAGGATTCACGAAGTTACGGCTGAGGAAGAAATCTGCTCGCCCTGAGGTACCTTCTTTGCGGAGACTCCTGGGAAACCGGAAATGCCTTATGTTCGGTCTCATCTTGAGCTGTCCATCGCAAGTCCGCCTTGGCAATGCTAACACGGACTGATGGCTAGCGGCTAGAGTCTTCCACCCGCTAGACTCAGACAGGTCCATCATCGATCACCTCACCTACTGTAGGCGGACATGCTTGTCTGAAGTCAGGCTAGTCGTTTACATGTGAGCCATATTCTCCGCTATCGCATTCGGAATGGCGATATACAAAACCAAACGGCAAGCTCAGGTATCTACGGCGATTCGGTCGTCTCGAAGCCTCCGGGTGACTGACCCTGGAGCCCTGTCTTGGTGGAGTGAACTACACTAAGAGGGGGGGTGGGGGAAACAGCCTACATTCCCTTAAGGCCTTGTTGTCGGAGACCAAGAGGTTTAAGAACTTCTTGTTACAAGCGATGAAGCGAAACTTCAAGGTGGTCCCGTGAAGCTAAAATGTGGGCTGCAAGGCTTCTTAAAAGCTACTGAAAGACTCTTGACCTTGCAACATCAAACGCCCTACCCGGTTCCTCGCTGTCGCTCGCAACCTGCTACACCTGCATGTCCTGTGCGGACAACTCCCTTCAGCAACAGGCACCACAACCACCAAAACAGCAGCAACAAAAACAGCAACAACGGCGACAGCGGCTGCAGGTGTTGCCAGCCTTCCCGGTCGGGCTGGCTGGATCAGAGCGCCGTCGCGAATACTTTTTCCTGCCAGTCAGCTTCGAGGGCTTGAGGCTTCCAGCCTACGGCTTTCGCGGGCCTGACCATCGCCAAGTATGCCTATTGTATTTATAGCTGTTGCTCGGATTGCTATCATTGACACGATTCCCATTGCAAACAGGAAGCTGATGCCAGTAGTTAAATAGGCAGGAATTGAGGTATTGAACAAGCAAAGCGATCGCCATGCTTGCCGGAATTGCGGAAAGAAAGGTGCTTCGCGTTTGGCACAAATCGTTGGACAAGTGAAACTCAAAGACACGCTCTGTTCTAGGACCATTTGGAGGTGGTTTTAGGCTTACAACTTTGTTATAGCGCTGGTGTCAGCAAACACCGCTTGCGCAAGACCTACCAAAGCGTCTTCGGGGCTGGGCTAAGTTCAACCAGCTCATAACCTCGAACCCGCTAATCACGGCAGTATGAACCCCCGATCGTGAACCACGAACCCTTCGACCTGAAGCCTAAGCCCTCAAGCTTGTATCCCGTAGACCCCGAACAGCCGCTGAAACCTCGACCCTGAACCCTGGACCCCGCCTCATCTCTCGCCGAGTGCGCGGAGTTTTTACCTGAACCGGGTGTGACGGTCACTTACAGATCCAGGTGGAAGGTTGGGTGTGTGATTTGGATTTGTAGTATTGTAGTTCCGGACAGAGGATGATGTGGTTGACCTGTGCTTGCTGCTCTGTCTGCGGCTCCTCCAGAGTCACGGAGGACTGCGGCTCATGTCTTCCACTCCTTTCTTCGGAACGAAGCCCGGGCGACCTATGCATCTTTGTCAAAATCCAATGGCGTTTGTCATCCATCTTCGACTTCTCAAGCGTGCCGTATGGGGCATGTAGAATCTAGGGCCGCAGGGACCAAGCTTAGAGAAGATGCCCTCCACATGGGGTTAAGCAACGAGATGCGCGGAAGTCCAAGAGACCGCAGAAACCTGAAACCCAAAAGCCCCAAACCCTAAAACGGCCCTAAACCCAACCCCCTCAAGCCCCGAAAGCAAGTAAGGCCTCATAAAGCCCCCCAAAAGCCCCGAAAAGCCCCCGCGCAGCCCCGTTCCCCAGAAAGGCCTGGGAAAAGAGACCCGGCTCCTCGTCGGAAGAGTCTCCGATTGGACTCGGGGTGCGCCTCGCTGAAAAGCTTCGAGAGGCTTTCAAAAGGGCTCTATGAGGATATCAAGGACACAGGGGTCTCGGGGTTTGGGCTTCAGGGGGCTTGGGAGTAGGCTTTAGGATTGTAAGGGCTTTCAGGTTGGGGTTTCGGGCTTTGGGCTTGGGCTCTGGGAGTGTCAAGGATCTAGGGCCTTCGTGCTGAAGGGTTGTCGTTGTGGGTTGAGTTAGGGTCGAGCTTAGCTGTGGTCGATCCGCGCTTTGCAAGCGGGGCAGCAGGATTGCCTATAACGCCGACAAGAACAGCAAGTCAGCGGGAACCCGAACAACGATAGCAGCAGCAGCGGCAGCAGCAGAAGCAGCAGCAGTGGAGGCAGCAGCATCCAGCGGATGCCGGCCTGTTTAGGCAGGGATCTGCAGAGAGCTCGATTCGGACACATCCAGATCATCCCTCATGAATCCCACAACTCTGGATAGCACTGCGGGAACCAAAGATACCAAACCTCGGCCTTTCAGCAACAAGAGATCGTCGCGGCCGTAGAAGTGATGTTGAAGGTAAGCATGCGAACACTGCGAGCAAAAAGCTGCAGGAGGAGCTTTCAGTGTCCAGAAGGAACGCTGGCCACGTTGATGCCCCTCACTGGGTCCCCGAAAGAAGATGTTCTTCTTGGAACCCCGAACTGCGGTTCTGCACATCCCGAGGGAGGGTGGAAACGCCAAGAGACCTTGCTCCAGGCTGAGGCGGCTCAAGCGTGTTGCCTTCTGTGGAAAAGGCGGTCCGGCTTCGGGGGCTGGGACTCGGGATGGCGGGAGGCCGAAGGGAGGTCAGAAGAAAAGGTGTTCGGATTGTCGAAAACACCAGGACAATGAAGCTTTTCTGATGCCTTCGACTCCGCTCGTCATTCAAGTCTTCGACTGTGGCGGTATGTTCAATGTAGGAAGTCGAAGTCATGCAAAATGCAGCTTCTGTTGGCGCTGTTCTTTAGTGCGCAAGCGCTTGCAAAATCCTGGGCATTCAAAGGTCACACAGCTCTCAATCCCTCCCATTGGTTATACACACACATAGATATATTATACACTTATACTTATATATGTATATATACAAATATATGTATATATGTGGACACACATACATACTCCCCACTTCTAGGGCTTGATCACAAGGCTTCCGCAGCGCAGCAAGAATGGAAAACAGTCGGCCTATCAAATCCAACCCACGCCCTGTGCACCTGAGTTCAGGGAGTGGGCGCTCCGATGCCGCTCCACCCGGCTCGCCGCCGGGGCTGCAGCAGGGCCCGTGGGCCATTTGCCCCGCCACTTCGGGTTGCCCTGAAGAGCTTCACATCGGGTCGGCAGGTTTGGGGGTTCGAAAAAGGTGTTGGCTTTGGGGGCTAAGCCTTGAGCACAGATCATGAAAGGACAAAAGTTTCAGACCTCCAAATTTAGCATCATCCGCACCTAGCGTCCTTACATGTCCTTGCGGTCTCCTGACCCCTGGAAGCCCTACAAAGCTTGACAAAAAGTGACCCCTGAAGGCACCCACCCCTCTTCGTTAAGTCTACAAGGAGTTGGTGGTTGTTCTGTCCCCACTGGAGATACCTACAGGCTGTGCACTGTATTTCATGTAACTGATTTTTCATAATCGTACTTGAGCCCCCAAAACCCTAAGCCGCATTGACCTCTTGTAAAGACCCATTGGAACACAGCCCCGTTTCGCTCGAAGCTCTGGCTGCCTCGTAGCATGTGCAGCAGAGGGCAAAGACCTGCGAACAGCGGAGCGAGGGTTCAGGGTACCTGGAGTTTTCAGGGTTTCGAGTTCCTTGGACTTCAGGTTTGGGGGTTTTGGGGACGTTTAGGCTTCACAAGGCTTGTAGGGGGTCTTTCTATCTGCGGGAAGTTGCAAACTCAGAGGTGAGTCTGCCTGGCCTGGGCCTTTGCTCCTTAAAAGCGTCCCCATAAAATGAGATGGGACCAGGTTCCCTAGTTTCTGCCAGGGCTGCTAGGGTCTTCGTGAAACGCACAGTCTAAGCAGCTGAAGTGAAGAAACGACTCTTTGCGTGGAAGCCGCATTCATGGTGATGATGTCTGTCACGATTTGCAGTACAGGGGTCGGGAGTCTAGATCTTGGAAGCACGGAATACTAACTCGGGCAATGCAGACACCCCGTTATGAGGACCCATGGTTTAGAAAAGCAGATCATCCAAGGTCCTCGCTCCGCTCTGGGCTCACAGGTCCACAGAGCTCGGGCAGCGTAAACTCAAAGATATTGCAAGTACCAGCCGGAATCGCTAGAGTGAGCACACCCATTCGGATATCTTGCAACATCAATAAAGACAATGTAGGGCACAAGACACGAACGATATTTGCGGCCCATCAGAATGCTTCGAAGTAGTCAGTCAAAACCCCAAAACCCCAGACCCTAAATCCCAACCTAAACCCCCAAACCCGTTAACTGTGTTTCCCAAACCGTCCGTCCCATCGCTGCCTCCCCAAAGGACCAGCAGTTCTTGCAAGCATGAAACTCCTGACTTGGGGCAAGTTTACGGCTGAGTGCTGTCAGGTTTTTCAGGGCTTTACAATGTATTCGCGTTCAAACATGTTCAACGTATAGGGGGGTTGGGGTGTTTTAGTGTGGAGTCTTCGAGAAGTTTGGGGGAGGCCGCAGGCGGCTTCGGGACACCAGGGGTTTGGAGCTGGAGGAACTTAAATTTCGAAGTCGAAGGCTGGGTTCTTCTCGAGGAACTTAGCCTGTGTCACCAGGATACGCATGTAAAGTGAACAAGGTAGCGTATACATTCTCTACTCCTTGGGTTTTCCCCGAAATACAGCGGCACAAGAAAGGCCCTGAGCACCACTCCTTGTCACCATGGAGGTCGACGATGAAAGCGCCGCAGGCGCCGCAGCAAAGCTTCTCGGGCACGGCTCCTGAAGCCCAAGGAAAGCAGGTTGAAAAACCTGGCCTGAACGGTGAGAACCGAGAAGCGATTACATCTCGCAGATAGGAACCGCCCGAGCTCACTCATGCTTCAAAGGGGCCCGAGATCTTTTTGCCCGTGGAAGTGGCAGATGGAAAGGCCTGGCTTGGGCATGGGCCGGGCCGTCACCTAAGGTGCTTCGGGGTGTGTAGAGAATTTAGGACGTAGAGAGCTGAGGGCTTTGGGAACTGCAATCGGAAACAGCAGCTTATGGCTGAAAGAGGACCCAAAAGGAAGGAGATAAGTAACCATTGAACTAATCTGGGCCTCCTACCAGAATGCGAAGCCACTTCCTCTACGTCTCCCGTCCGAAATCTTAAGGCTCATAAATCACCACGAACCTCTCAAAAAGTCTCCAAGCTCTCCGGGTCATGAGGGCCACGAGGCCACGCCGAAAGAGGCACCAAAAACCCCGACGCCCCAAGCCACGCAGACCCGACGCCGCCTGTCGGATGGTGTGGGCCTGACGAGTCTCCAAGGGCCCCAATCTGTAGCTCCCAGAACCCATCCGAAAAAAGCGATGGTTCTGTGTTTTGATTTGTGAACCACTTGCTTTCAAAGCTGGCCCTGAGCTCCGAAGACCCCAGCTCTGGGAGGGTTTCAAAGTTTGGGGCTTAGTCGGGTTCAGGTTTCGGGTCTCCTTGACCCCATCCATGTGTGGATCCTGCAGCTTCTGCATGTCGCAGCGACCATGACAAACTCACCCCAAGTCCTAGGGGCTTAAACATGTAGAGTGTAGGAGCTCACGGTTAGTCATTCGATATAAATTAGCCGTCCAGAACCCTGAGAAACCCCCGAACAACACCTTTGCGCAGCCATCGGCAACCCTTCGCCATCAAGCCCTGATCGCTCCGAGGTGCCTTGAAAAGGTCCGAGGGCTGACAGGTCTCCTCGCGGCACATGAGCTACTGTCAATAGTGCCCATAATGCAGCAGAGGTATGTTATAGTATACGGAATTATAATACTAACATTCACAGCTCTATACTAGCCAGAAGCGAATAAGGGTCATAGAGTTGCCATAGATCATGCAGTTGGCTGTAAGCCAGACTTCTCACTCCGCGCACGTTGATCGTAGCATAGTCATTGTTGCGTTGCTGTCGTTGCTGGATGGCGCTCTAAGGTTGTATGGTGCTTGCCCTTGCCAGGCCTGCAGGCTCTGGCGTGGGTTCCAAGGTCTGCAGGATCACAGCGGCCACGGTGCTAGCAAGACTGCGGATACAAGCAGAAGAAGAAGAAGAAGCCCATGGGATCCCAAAACAATCACCTGGACAGCCGAACACGCTGCACACCCTCTAACCCAACCCCTAATCCCACCACCCCCCATCCCAAAAACTTTGACCCCACTTATCGTAAATTCTTTCTCAAGCAGGAATGTGTCCATCATCAGTAGCGCTGCCAGTGCGACTACTGTATTGTTACCACCACCGGCAACACCACCACAGCAACCACTACCAACATTGTGCTTGCTGCTTGCCCTTCTGCTTTTTCTTGTCTCCTGTCTCTTTGCACCTCAGACTCTACCCCCGCCCCTCCGCGCAGCATGGCCTCATGCTCGTGCACTGATTGCACGACCCTTTTGACCGTCCTCGGGTGTCTGCGCAATGATCTACTGGAGCTACCCTTCTGGTCTCTTCCCATTCGCAGTGCGTATTAACCACGAACCACGAACACATTTTGCGTGACTGGATTTCTCTTGCCATGCATCATGGCGGCCAAAGCTGGCTAAACACCTTTAAGACCTATAGCCTAATAGGCCCACTGCACAAGCTTCTGCAACTCAGGAGTCTAACCTTCAGAATTACTGCGCTGATCCTCATCTTTTTAAGGTCCTGGCTTACTTCCAAGTCCGGCTTCCCCTCCGAAAGCCCTGAAATCAGCGCTGAAGCGCCGAAACCCGAAACCAAAACAAAACTCGAAGGACCGAGAGTCTTCAGAGTGTCCGTGCGCTCCGTCGGTGCCGAGTGTCTTGGCTTGTCCTGTGCGCCACAGCTGCTCTGCGGCAATGGGCAGCACACGAAGTGACTTGAGTTCCGCAGCAGAAAAACTTCACACCCGCTGTACAAAAGGAGGGGCAATGGCGGTAACATGCTCACGAACAACATATGTGAAGGCCCAGAGTATGTAGGCAGAACATTCTACCAATCTATGCCCACATATGCATTGGGAGGCCTTTGTGTGCGCGTGTTTACGCATTGTCGTCCAGTTTCTCACTGCGGAATCAGCCAAAAATCGCGTCTAACACAAGAAAGTAGGTACACCAGATGTAAAGAATGAAGAAAAACATGCACACAAGCAACACATGCTAATAAGTAAAATTGTATGCAAGGACCCATCAGCGACCTCTTTGCCAAACAGCATCCATGAATGCTTGTTCTAACATGGGCATGCCAGCAACAAGAAAACCAAGATGACTACTAGCAAAAGCCACATTCATCACCATTGCTACTAAGAACAACAACTACTGCTTCTACTACTACTTCTACTACACCGACGAAGACGACGACGGACCACAAGAAGAAGAACAGGGTTTATCATGCGACAACCAACAACAGTGGCAATATTAATAATGCGAACGAGAATACTAACAATAAGAATATCAACACACACACACACACGCATGAACCGAATAGCGATAGTAACACACAGAGAAGCGATATTCATAATAAGTACTACGCGTGATAGTAAAGCTAGTAATAGCGGTTTAATGGCGACCATAACAAGAAGAAGAAACGGACCAAGAGCCAGAGCAACAGCCACGGCAGCAGCAGCAGCAGCACCACCACCACCACCACCACCACCACCGCAATAACAAACAACCACAACAACAACAACAACAGCAGCAACAACAAGGAACAAACAAAAACTGCAGCTTTTGTTTGTTCCTTGTTGTTGTTGTTGGTACAGACAAAACAGCAGCCCGTAACTTATGTTAATTAGAAAGAATTGGGAATCCCGACCGAATACCGAATCAGGTGCCTGTGGAGTTTTGGGGAATGCAAAGACTTGGTTTACACAGCATCAGCCCCATGATCGAAATGCTGTCTAGACTGGGTGGTTGTGGAAAAGGGGGGGTCAAAACAACAGACGGGGCTCCAGTTTTGGTCTCTAGCAACAGGTAGAGACAAAGGCCCCGTTGGAATTTTATGTGGGAATGCAAGCCTGGTTTACACAGCATCAGCCCCACGATAGAAAAAAAACCTATGGAATTCCTATGAAAACCCATGGAAATCCTGTGAAAACCCATGGAAATCCTACAAAAACCCATGGAAATCCTATGAAAACCCTTTGGAAATCCTGTGGAAACCTATGGAAACCTATGGAAAACCTATGGGAATCCGATTAAAACACACCGAAAACGCTTTACACCATAGCCACTGTGTTGTTGTTGTTGGTGGGGGAAGGGGGGTAAAACAACATGACGGGGCTCCTGCTGTCGTCTCTACCAACAACAACAACAACAACACGAATACAAATAGTCAACATGGGCAGTAACAACATACATATCCATAATCTCACCACTTGCAAGCCAGGGGCGAGAATCGTGACAACAGCCCTAAACCCGAAAATTTGTTAAAAGCAAGAACGCCTTACCTGCACCCTAATTGCTGCTACTGGTATCAAGAAAAGACAAACACTCCGCTTCCTGCTCTTTGTTGGCATACTTGGACTTCTTAGGGTTCGAAGCACCGCTGCCCATGGCGTCCAAGAAAGCACTAATTTAGGATCCTTATAATTGGAAAATGGAACTGGGGTCGATACTACCATGAGTATTCTGCAATTCGAATTAGGTTTGCCAGCTCAAGTATCCACTTCACTTAAAACCCCAAACCACCCGGAGTAGAATCTCGATCTGGGTAGACTCTACTTCAGGATTGTGGCGAGGGCTTAGGGCAGAGGGTCTTGGGGTAAGGGCAGGACTTGGCTTCCTTGTCCCGGTTCTGTCTTGCTTCCTCCTGTGAAAAAAAAAGGGCTGGTCAGATCAGAAGGCAGGGCAGACGCGAAACGAGCTGCAATGAGGCGCTGAAAGGAGCTCAGGGGATGTTTATGGGCATCCTTCGTCGTACGGGGGCTCTGGAAGGGAATCGGTACAGTACGTCTCAATGATCCGAACAGTTGACGTTACTCCTCCAGACTCTGCATTCGACAACTACGGGAGCCCCAAAAGAAGCTCAATAGGCTCAGCAGCCCGAAGAGCACGTCCTTGTTGCCTTGATCGATGGGGATGGCCGTCCAATGTGGATCTCCGAGATAACGACGATGACGGTGACGATTGCGACGGTCACGATGACGATGACGATGTTGATGACAATGTTGATGACAATGTTGATGATGATGATGATGATGATGATGTCGATGTCGATGTTGCTGTCGTTGTTGTTGCTGCTGCATCCATAACATGCTTGTGATCATGGCTACGAAATGAGTCCGACTTGCATCGATGCTCACTAAAGTTACTAAAGCGATGAAGTGAGTCTCCGGTACACAAGATAAAAGCACCCCGAGAAGAAGAGCTTCGGGATCCAAAAATGACGACGGCCCCTTGTTTGCACCTCGTGGCCCCAGGTGGGCATGACGGGGCTCCAGTGGCCACAAAACCAGGAGGGCACTCGCTGCACGGAGAGCCCCTTCCTGGGATTTAGGTGCGAGGGCTCAGGGCCAGGACTAGCAGAGCAAGGAACATGCTGTGCACAGCTCGGAAGTGGGGACGATGGGCTTGCTGAGTTTCTCGGCTGGATCGTGTCATCCGTGCCATCGGCATGAGCTGTTTGCAGAGAGTCAACGCCCTACATCATGGAACCTCAGCGTAAGGCAACCAGTCAACGTTCCTTTGAATCTCGCAAGTCAGCCCAGTAGAACAGACTGCACAGCCAAAGACAAGCTCCGCAGTCAAAGACAAAATTCCAACATGGCTCCACAACTTCAAGCTGTAAACCGATAAGCACCTAAGGCCAAGGACGACTTTCAGAGAAGGAATACCGCTGCAGAAAAGCCACAGCTTGGTATGCTGCAGCCTGGGTAGAATACAGAGCCTGCGCCACTTCGAAATCCGAAACTCTAGATCGGTGGGGTTCGGTGCTGGGCTCATGGCTTGATATGGTTTCAAGGTCCGTAGGCACGCGGCTAGCAAATTTTAATGGTCGAGGATTTCGGTGTGTCCTAAGCGCTTTCGGATGACAAGGTGTGATTGCAGAGAAGACAACATTCCGACTCGCTGACCCTCGCGCGAGCGGGTGGCAGGAGCCTCCGTGCACAACTCCAAGTGCTAGGCTTCAGTTTCCGAGGCCCAGAAGCAGCGCGGAGTTTACTGCGGGCGCCTCGTGCAACGAAAGCCTCTCCACCAGTCGTCGCTCATGGCACCCTCGGACTGCGCCTGGAGTCCCAGTGTCTTCTTTTGGGGCCGTTGTGGAGGCTTCCGCGAACAGGGCTTCCTGTTCCTGGCTTAGGCTGACATCTTGCAGCTGTTCGATTTAGGACCATGAACATGAATTACCGCAAATGCTGCGAGAATGGCATGGTGGTGATGTCATGGTCTTCATCATGGTTGGGCTCCAGTCACACAAACCACGGCCCTTTGCTCGAACAAGCTAAGTCTTACTCGAAAACCAATCACCTCCCACCGACTCCGCTGCCTGGAGCAAGAGCGCGGACGCTGCCGAACTCTGCCCGCCGAGTAGTGTCAAGCGCCTGCAACTCAGCTTGCGGGCTTGAAGGGTTCGTTTGCTGAAGGGCCGTGGAGGACGTTCTTTGCTGCCTTTTATGGGTGTGGATGTTGTGGACGCGGCCACCCTGTCTTTCAGTCGCAGCTCCTGGGAAAGCTGTCCCGGCACGTTCCTATGACAGGCGCGCTTCTTATGATCGAGAGAGAGAGAGAGAGAGAAGCCAGCTTTGAGAACTGACACAACTTCAACAAGTGTCTCCCCGCCTTTGTAACTCATTCTGGCATTCAATTAACACGAGGCTCCTTTACATCTCTCCCGATTAAGGCACAGCAGATGATCGTTCTTGGGGTGGCATTACAACACAGCACTAAGCCGGATTGTGTGGTGTGTCACAAGCATGGTGCCCAGTCGTGTGAATGCTTGGGCTTGAGCTGAGGTACGAGTATCGCTTCAGAAGTTTCTTGCGGCTTTCCCTGGTTCGAAGGTCCCTGTCGGCCTCAGCTTCGGGCACAGCTTGGCGAGGTGCATCAGACCTCTGCGCGACACATTACCCCAAGTTCCGCAAACAAGAAACGGTCAAAAGCGCAAGACTGCAAGCGCTTCTACCGTCCACTCAACTGTGCTCAACCTTCCCCTTAGCTGCTCAACCCATCGAGACCCGAGAATCGTGCAAAGCCCGAAACGTGCCCCAGCCAACATCGAAGCATAAAACCTCAAGACCCTCGTCCGAAAAGTCAAAGTTAAAGAACAGCCCAAAACCTGAAACCCTACATCCTGTCTGAAACCGCCGAAACGCCGGCGTCTGAAGGCCCTCCAGCTCCCAGAAGATGAAGCTCCGTGAGCTCGGTGAGGAGGTTTGCCCTGTGGGCATTTTGTTTCCACAGGCTTGGGGCTTTGGGGGTTTAGGAAGTTTAGGGTTTAGGCTCAGGGCTTTGGGTGGGGTTTGGAACCGCTGAATTAGGGCTTAGGACTCAAGCGTTTGGGCTCAGGCTTGAGGTCGTATTGAAGCTGTAGGGGCAATAAGGGGTGGGGACTTCCCCGCGCCTTCCCCAGGTGCGGATGACGCTGTTCGGGATCCCGAACCTGCAGCTGGGGAATTCCTCTCGGAATAGGCGTTCAGGATCTGAAGAGTCAAGGTAGTATTGCTCAGAAAGGCACGAAACTTTCAGGAAACATGTTTACACTATTTATGATGACATAGGAAGATGCTTTCATCAAGAAGCTTCGGGGAGACAGCGGTCGTCTGTCGGACCGCAGAAGCCGAACTCCTCCTACCACGACTCTGCACGATGACGATGATGATGATGATGATGGTGATGATGCTGATGATGATGATAACGAACCTAGCATCGTCATTGCAATGATCACCAGCATGATCCCCACGATCACCACCACCGATCGCAGCATGAACATGATCACCGCCATCCTCATGACGCCAAGGTTGGGAAAGGATCTTCCCTGAGCCCCCGGGCGGCAGAGCCAGTCGGAAGAGCCGCCCGGCGAAGCTCGGCGCCTCAAGCGGAGCCCCGCTTGGACTTACGCTTAGAATGTAAGGCGTCAGGTTCAGGCCTTTTTTGGAGTCCAGAGTTGAGGAAGCTTTTGCGATAGTCGGATTTGCGGTTTCTTACGCGCCTTAAAAGGTATCATCTGGGGTTCGTCATCAGCTACCCGAGTCTGCTCGCTCGAACGCAATTCTCTGCTGCAAAGGACTATGCGGTCCACAGTCAATCGAACTCAACAAAGTGTCAAGGAGAACTGATTAAAGTTAGCGTAAGAGTGCCTCCGTCAAGGACGAGAACAAGACCTTGCTACTGTTTCAATCTCTCCACCCACCCATCCACCGAATCACCAAAAATGACCTCCAAGCCGAGTGGCCCACCTACAGGGTCAAAGGACTTCGCATATTAAAGTCCCGCATCCGTGAACCCAAAAGCACGCATCTGTCCGACCTTGCCAGCCATGGACATTGCCACAGAGTTCGCCGCACGGAGCAGCTGCGTCACCTCTCGGCATCCCGAGTCCCGACACGCCAACAGCAATCGTTGAGGAAAGGCTTACTTCCTCAAAGAGCTCTATATCTGCAATAACGACGACAACGACAACAACAACGGCAGCAGCAGCAGCAGCAGCAGCAACAGCAACAACAACAACCACCACCACCACCTCAACTCCAACAGACGCAATGGATTACTACAGAACTAACTGTAGTAATTCAATCCGGGGCCAGAAGTTCGAGTTTACTGAAACAGCAGCTATGGAGCCGGAGATCAAAGATGCAGCCTGGCTATTGGCAGAGGTGGTTTTCCGAATTAGGATTCTTTTGATGGGAAAGTCTCTGAAACTCACACACAATGGGATTCTCAACATTCCCGATAGCTCTACGTGACAAGTCATTCCCTTTAAGACTACTCGTGCTCTAACTTCAACCTATTTAAAAATTAAAAGAAAAAAGGGCTCCCCCCAGGTTTCGCAGCCCAAAGCCGGGCCAAAGGGCCTTTCGGAGGACTGCGTCGGAGGCGTTTGCAATGGCCATGGCCTGGACGAGGAGACTTTAAGACTCGATTCTGAGGAGTGACAGAGCCTTCTGTGGATTCGTGGACTTCTAGATTCCAGGCTCTTTCGAGCTTTCCATGGTTGAGGGTATGATGGTTGAAGGCATCGACTGTGCGACTGTGTGGTTTGTAGTCCGGGGTTTGCGATGGCTGAGGTTTGCAGTTTGCGGCATGACCTCAGAGGCGCCGCAGCGCAGGCCTGCAATGACCATTACCTCATGTTTCGAGGTTGCATGCCGCCACGAAGGGAGCATCATCAGCATCATCGCCACCCTTTCTCGGATGGAAGGCGAGCCCTACGGCGAGCATCGTCATCATCGTCTCCCCTCGGTGTTTCCGACCGGACGGCGAGCATCATCAGCATCATCG